AAACCTATAAAACCTAAATTTATTATACTTATTATACTAAAAATATAACTAAAAATCTTAATACCCAAATAATTAGTTAAACACGTAAAAAAAAATAGCACCATAATAAAATAAAGTCAAACATAAACTAAAGTAATCAAAAGGATAATCAGTAGGATATAAACCTGCCCAAGTCAATCAAAAAAGAGATATTAAAAAACAAGAAGAAAAAAATACAAAAAGTCATCAAAAATACTTAAATTAAAGTTATATTACAACAACAATAACAAAATAAATAAAAACTGCTAAAAACATTAAAATTACTCCTAAAAGTTCATCCGAAACAGAACGCGACATAGTAAAAGCATATAAATAATATCATTCAGGAACAACATGCACAGGACTTGCTAGCTAAAACATCAGACTCAACAATAATTATAGGATTTCTTAACCTAAAGAATAAAAAAAAAGCAATTAAAAATTAAAACAAAAATAATAAAAAATCCAAACAATCCTTTAGTCAAAAATCTTGGAAAAAAAGTAATCTTATCAGAATCACCGTGACAAAACAATCTACAACTTCTACCAGTAAAGTGTAAAAAAACTGAATGAAAAATAACAAACAAAAAAAAAACCCAAAGTAAAATAAAATGCATAGAATAAAAAAATTTTGAAGTATTTTCACAAACACTAAAACTACCCCAAATTCATCACACTAAACAACTATCCAAATAAGGGATAGAAGTTATTAAACTAGTGATGACAACAGTTGCCCAATATCTCATTTGACATCAAACCAAAACATACCCAGTAAAAGCGATACCATTAAAAAAAATTAATGATAACCCCGCTTAACTGAATTTACTTTAATCGATAACTAGCACAAATTAAACCCTTAAAAATATGAACATAAATACAAAAAAATAAAAATAAATCAGCTCCATTAGAATGCAAAATACGAATTAATCAACCCATGTTAACTTCAAGTATAATATACTGAACAGTCTCAAAAGCTCCTATACAGAATAATAAAAAGTAAGAAAAAAATCAGTTAAAATCTGAGAAACTAACATAATACCCAATATACTACCAAA